GGCTGGGTGACGCAGACAGACACCCACTACACTGGATGACAGACCAGGGCAGCAATACATCTACTGGGGCACATCAGCTGGGTGACTGGGCATATCAGCTGGGTGACTGAGCACATCAGGTGGACAGCAATCATAAGCAACTCTTCAATGGGTGACAGTTGTGGGCTAGTCTTCCAAGGTGGGCTGGGTGACTTCTCATTCCTCTAAATATTCAATTTTGGCAGTAATTGCTTCCCCCAAAAGTCTCGCCCAAATACTGATATTCTCCACCATTTATCTCAAACCAACAACCAACTCCACCAAATATAATAATACAACCACACAATTACTCAGACCCACCTTCAAAAAAACAAGGTCAGTTAAGGTCACTAGGATTATAATATCACACTGATATTTACTTTAACTTTACACACACAAGAAAAAAAAAGTGGTAGCAAATGGTAGCATAACAAGTACAGTAGGGCCCCACTTATACGGCGGGTTAGGTTCCAGGCTACCGCCGTAAAGCGGAAATCGCCGTAAAGTGGAACACCCTTTTTTTCCACTTATAAATGCATACAAACACTAGATAACAAGTTTACACTAACATATATTAAGTTAGCAATAGAACCAGGCATCAAAAAACAATAAAAAGGTACAATACACACATAGTGCACTCATTACTTACCTTAAAATATTTATAGTCTTAATCTAGGGTGAGACAAGTAGTATTTATTGTAAGAAATCAAGTGTGGTATGTATTGTAATAGCCTCACCAGGCCACCCCACCCACACATACTATTCTATGATATTTAAGCATCCCAGAGCGATAAAATGTATATACAGTTCACTCATTACTTACCTTAAAATATTTGTAGTCTTAATGTAGGGTCAGGAGTAAGTAAATGAGATAAAACGAATAAATGAGAGAGAGAAAGAATGAATACATGAGAGGGGGCAGGCGCAGTTATGTAAACAAACCAGGGGAAGGTAAGTTTTGTAAACAAACGAAGTGTACACGTCTGGTTTGTGTACAAGTTACATTGTGTACAGGTTGTCTCTACATTGATACGGTAGAATTAATAAAGAAGAACACTCCCATTCTCATGTAACATCATTTTGAGAAGAAATGAAGCTCTGAGTGAAGGCAATGGAAATAAGTCACACTGACTTTTTTGGGTTATCCTAGGTTCTCTACACGTATGTTGTTATGTATGATAATCTATGTAACTGTATTTGTGTATACCTGAATAAACTTACTTACATACATACGAAAGGAATAATTTTCTACAGTTACCCCCAGTAACACATTTACTCTTATGTTAGATTAGAGAAAATGTTATTCTTGGCGTCACTTGTACAAGTTATGGGCTCCCACATCTTATATTTATGTTTATTTATTCTATTGTGGGGTGTATTTATCATCTTTTTATGTTATGTATCGTGTTTATTATATAATTTTGAAAAAAATATCATGGATGGATTTAAAGAAAATGTGTATATTACCGTAATATACGACATTTAATGAGACTCGGTATTGTTATTATCACCACTTGTGCAAGTCGTCTGCTACGACATCTCACATTTGTTTATTTATTCTACTGTGGGGTGTATTTATCTTATTTATATGTTATGCATCGTGTTTATTATATGATTTTGAAAAAAATATCATGGATGGATTAATGAAAATGTGTATATTACCGTAATATACGACATTTAATGAGACTCAGTATTGTTATTATCACCACTTGTGCAAGTCGTCTGCTACGACATCTCACATTTGTTTATTTATTCTACTGTGGGGTGTATTTATCTTATTTATATGTTATGCATCGTGTTTATTATATAATTTTGAAAAAAATATCATGGATGGATTAATGAAAATGTGTATATTACCGTAATATACGACATTTAATGAGACTCAGTATTGTTATTATCACCACTTGTGCAAGTCGTCTGCTCACATCTCACATTTGTTTATTTATTCTACTGTGGGGTGTATTTATCTTATTTTATGTTATGCATCGTGTTTATTATGTAATTTTGAAAAAAATATCATGGATGGATTAATGAAAATGTGTATATTAACGTAATATACGACATTTAAATGACTCGATGTATGTAAGTTTATTTAGGTACAGGTATACATAAGTATAATTATCAGAGTATATATAAAATATGAAATAACTTTTAAAAACATTTGAAATTTTGGAGTTTCCAGACAAAATGGAGAGACTTAGTGCTTACTGAGCTCATGGAGAATGTAAACAAACAGGGTGGGGCACGGTGACCGTATTAGAAAGTCAGGTGGGGGGAGCCGTATAGTGAGTTTTGGTCATAATTTGAAATGTCCGTATTAGCGGAATGCCGTAAAGCGGAACGCCGTAAAGCGGGGCCCTCCTGTATAACCGAGCAGTCAAAAATAAGGCACATGGGACTGGTTCCTACTATAAAAATAATAAGAACCACCACCGCTTAGACACCATGTCATGTAGGGGGGTATCGGAATGAATAGGATATAAGTGGGGAATATGGGAGTAGGGGATTATGTAGGCAGGGGAGAGGCAGGCGAGGTGGTAGGAGTGAGATGATTAGCGGAGGTAGGTAGGTAATGACAGATCAGTGGTGACCACCACGACACTCTCATTAACTCTACACTACTCACTAACATATGCCTCACCCATTCTTCACTCATATAAACATTATAAAATATAAGAAAAAAGAATAAATAATGGTGGGCAGTGAATATTACTATTCTACTCAAACACAGTTTATTATTAAGTCCTTGTACAATAATATATTTGGGAACAGGAGTACATCATTGGTTTAGATAAATGGGATGGTATGTATAAGCAGTGAGACAGGGAACACAATCAACTTGACGAAAATGAATATAACTTAGAAATAGTACAGAGGACAGTTCACTACAGGAACTAAGCCACAGGTCCCAAGACCTACACAGCACGAGTACTGCTCCAAGCCAGTACTCTGCCCAGTGTCTCCAAGAGTCTCCTCCAGAGACTTCAGCAGCCTTCTCCCGAGCCCTGCACCCCAGCAGCAGCTCCGCTCGAAGTCTCTGCTCAGGAGCTCTGCACCCCAGCAGCAGCTCCGCTCGAATCTCCTGATCATGCTCTTCCTTGGGCTTTTATGGTGGTCCAAGCACCCTCCACAACCACGTGTACGACCTGACGCCTAGGTCTGACGCCGTCAAGAACAAAAGACCTCAGACATGGGCGTGGCTACAGACGTTTGCCAAGGCAAGGTGTAACCATAAAATTGGTTAAATTAGGTCTCCCCAGAGACCTCACAAGCCCAGCTGAACTACATCACAATTAAGGCCATAGGCATTTGCTATATCCCCCACACGCAAGCCACTCTTAAGCTTGTCTAATATCTCAATTTTCTTCGTAACTCCTAGACTTGACGCTTAAACCTTTTCTTGCCACTTTGAGCAACACTTGTATGCCTACTGGGTGCCATGATTGCTTGGAAGATTTAAGATAGGGCAATTAAAATAGTGTATGTATCTAAAACACAGCGAGCTCCTTCCTAAGACAGATTTGTCCAACACACACATGAACCAGGCTGGGAGGAGGTGGGGGTGGCGGGGGATGGTGGTAGGTCTCCCCCGTTGACTCACTGCTGTAACCCACGTCTCCTGCAGGCGACCACGCGCTCAAAGTTTTTTCCCCTCCTGTAACCATGTTAAATTAATTTTAGAAAGTGTTAAACAAAATTATGCTGCAATTCTTCAATTGTGCTATTAACCAAAACATGCCAGACAAAACCATGTTTAATGGTGGCTAATTGTATTTGAACCAACCAATAAAGTGATGGGAAATTGATAATTTGGCCAGTTTCACACAGTTAATAATGTTCTAATTTCAAAATAGGATCCAGAATAAACACTGCAGGCATTCCTGGCACTAAAATAACATTTTCTCTGTTGATTAGTTGTGTTTCCAGGCTTTACAGATGTATTTCAGTTTGATTTTTTATTCACACCAAAAGTAGATGATTTACTGTTATGCAGTAGTGTCATAAATGTATAAATAATATCAGCACATTCGTGAATGTGCATTAGACCCACCAGCTGACATGTATTGGACGAATTGTGATTTGTTTACTCTTGAACATTGGCAAAAATTGAACATGTCTGCTGCTTTGAGCTCAATTTCAAGCTATTTTCAGTACTAAAACCAATCAAAATCGTCTCTGCTTCTGTAATATATCCTACATTCTATATCAAATGAGACAAGAAACAGTGAATATAATTGTAAAAACATACGAAAATACACCACAGTCGCTGTTTTAATCCAAAAACGCTGTTCCCATTTTTTTTCTCGTTATGCGCTGTGTGCTGCAGGATTTGTCTTATCTGGTACACACTTAACACACAGATGCATTCTCTCATATCTAGGCTCAAATTTATCACTCACAGCTTATCTGAGTGAGCTGAGCTCATGACGTAGTACTACAGCTTGGACCCTGGCTTCAAAGCCGTAGAACTATGGGACGAACTCTCAAAGGGTTAAACAACCCTTCCTTTTATGCAGTTTTTTTTTTTTATTATTTATGATTGGGTATACTAACACTTAAATTGGAATAATTTGTTTTTCTACCTCAATGTTCTCAATGATTCCCATTTTGACTCACGAAATCGTAATGACACGATTGCTTCAAGACAATCTTCTTCATGTATTATTCGTTTTTTGACTTTACATATAATACGTTATTAATCATATCTAACCAATGTAGCATGCAAAGATAAATTAGCTTAAGCATACAAAGTAAAAAAAAAAAAAATAGTGTTTGGGAGAGCAAATGGTTGGTCTGCCTTCTAGCTACTACAGTGAAGGCAGGCACTATTTTTTTTTTCTTTTCAGCCTGACTCCTCTAGTCAGACAGTTGATACGTACACATCACCATCTAAAGACATCACAGATTATACATTGTGAAAAAATGCTAAATCCATTTTTCATTCTTTCCACGCATTTTAATTTTGCATTCATTTTTTGCAGGCGAAGAAGGACAGGATGCTGGTGGACTTCTTAGAGAGTGGTACATGATTATTTCCCGGGAAATCTTTAACCCAATGTATGCACTGTTTTGCACTTCACCTGGTGACAGAGTAACATACATGATTAACCCAGCATCTCACTGTAACTCCAATCATCTTTCGTATTTCAAGTTTGTTGGAAGAGTTATAGGTAAGGCCATAATTTGTATTTGTGTATTTAACATAAAATTTGATCACATTGATGCAAATTATTTTATTACAATTATATATACATGTGTGTGTGTGTCTGTGTGGGTAAAGGAGGTTTTGTGGGTGAGGGGCTTAGACTTCCAGCAAGCGTGCATGAGCGTGTTAGATAGGAGTGAATGGAGACGAATGATACTTGGGACCTGACGATCTGTTGGAGTGTGAGCAGGGTAATATTTAGTGAAGGGATTCAGGGAAACCGGTTATTTTCATATAGTCGGACTTGAGTCCTGGAAATGGGAAATACAATGCCTGCACTTTAAAGGAGGGGTTTGGGATGTTGGCAGTTTGGAGGGATATGTTGTGTATCTCTATACGTATATGCTTCTAAACTGTTATATTCTGAGCACCTCTGCAAAAGCAGTGATAATGTGTGAGTGTGGTGAAAGTGTTGAATGATGATGAAAGTATTTTCTTTTTGGGGATTTTCTTTCTTTTTTGGGTCACCCTGCCTCGGTGGGAGGCGACCGACTTGTTGAAAAAAAAAAAAAAAAAAAAAAATATATATATATATATATATATCCTCCATGGGGAAGTGGAACAGAATTCTTCCTCCGTAAGCCATGCGTGTTGTAAGAGGCGACTAAAATGCCAGGAGCAAGGGGCTAGTAACCTCTTCTCCTGTATATATTACTAAATGTAAAAGGAGAAACTTTCGTTTTTCCTTTTGGGCCACCCCGCCTCGGTGGGATACGGCCGGTGTGTTGAAAGAAAGATATATATATCCTCCATGGGGAAGTGGAACAGAATTCTTCCTCCGTAAGCCATGCGTGTTGTAAGAGGCGACTAAAATGCCGGGAGCAAGGAGCTAGTAACCTCTTCTCCTGTATATATTACTAAATGTAAAATGAGAAACTTTCGTTTTTCCTTTTGGGCCACCCCGCCTCGGTGGGATACGGCCGGTGTGTTGAAAGAAAGAAATATATATATATATATATATATTATATATATATAATATATAATATAATATATATATATATATATATATAATAGTAGTAGTAGGTTGGTAGACAGCAACCACCCAGGGAGGTACTACCGTCCTGCCAAGTGAGTGTAAAACGAAGCCTGTGATTGTTTTACATGATGGTAGGATTGCTGATGTCTTTTGTCTGTCTCATAAATATGCAAGATTACAGGCATGTCTTGCTACTTCTACTTACACTTAGGTCACACTACACATACATGTACACATTTATTTATACACACTCATCTGAGTTTTCTTTGATTTTATCTTAATAGTTCTTGGTCTTATTAATTTTCCTTTTATATCCATGGGGAAGTGGAATAAGAATCTTTCCTCCTTAAGCCATGCGTGTTGTAAAAGTCAACTAAAATGCCGGGAACAATGGGCTAGAAACCCCTTTTTTCCCTGTAAAGATTACTAAAAAGAAAAAAAAGAAAATTGTCAAAGGGGAATCTAAAATGGCGGGGATGTTGTGCAGATGAAAAAAAAATGAGGGGATGTTATAAGAAAAACCTGATGCCGGGCTTTAAGTGAAAAAAACTGAAGGGGTGGGAGATTTTTCGGGTGGAGGAATAAAGGGGATTAGTCGGGGGTTTCAAATAGATTTAAAGCAAAGAAGAGTAGCAATAATTTAAAGGGAAAACTATGGCGGGAAAAGGACTATAAATGATTAATTCAAGTTTATGTGGATAAAATAAAGAGGGATGTGAAAAGGGGGTTATAAAAAACGTGTATCACCTGGAGAAAAGAATTTAGGGGAGGAAGAGTTTTTGGGAAATGTTGAGTGAATGCGGGGGATTTGAATAAAATTGAGAGAAAGGGGTTGGGGTTTTTTAAAGCTAAAGTGGGAAAAAATTTTTAAGGAGGGATAGTAGGAAAATTTTGGGGTGCCGGGGGTAAATGTAAAGGGGACCTTAATTGACTAGGAGAAAAAAATTTTGGTAAAAGAAATCATATTTATGAAAAGAGGATAAATAAATATAAAGTAAGAGCACAAAAGAAAGTATTTTTTAATTATGTTTTATAAAAAGGTTGATGGCTGGGCCCCCGGAGACATGTTTATAGAGGGAAAACTGATAATCGGACATTATTTAGTTGTACTACAGTTAGATAAGAGGTAATGGAAAAGAGGAAGTGGCAACAACAATAAGAGGGAGGGAAAGTGTAAAAACTAAGGAGGGGGAAGTTCGGGGAGATATAAGCACAAAGGCAGAAAGGTGGGCTAGTGCAAAATGAAATGGGGGGGTTGAAGGGGGTTGGAATAGTTTTAAAAATGCATATTAAATGTGGGCAGAAGTTTGTGGTTATAGGAGGTGGGGCAGGGGGAAAAGGGGGATTGGGAATGATAAAAGAAAGGGGTGTGATAAAAGGAAAAAGGTACTTTGAAGGTTTTTTTAAAAGCAAATGTTATAAAAAACAGAGTATTGGAGAGTAAAAAAAAAGGGTAAAGAAGTGGTGAGAGAGTGCAAAAGGGAAGCAAGATAGAGGGGGAGAGCACGCAAAAAATTTTAATGAAAAAAAGAAAAAATTGGAGTGATTAAACAAAAAAGAAACCTAGGGAAAATAGGGTTTTTGTCATTTAAAAAACAAGTAGGGGAGTTTAGAGGGGGAGATGGAGGTATTGGGTAGGGCGAGAATATTTTGGGGAACTTAAATGTTAAGGAAGAAACAGGGCATAATTTCATGCACGGGCCCAGGGGGGTAACCACTTTAGGAGTGAAAAGGCAGAATTTAAGTGGGGGGGAGGACGTGGGGCTTACGTAAAATAAAAGGGGGGTAAAGCACTAACTGAGGGGATCATGACAGAAATGTTAAAAGCGGGGGGGGAAAAGTGTTGGGTGGTTGGGGTACTTTTTTAAAAAATTTTATGAAAGGGGGGAAGGTACCGGGGGAAATGGCAGAGAGCAGTATGTCCCTTTAATAAAGGGAAAGGGACAAAAGAGACGTAAAAATTAAGAGGAATAACTTACGAAAACCAGAAAGGTTAGGGTAGGGTTATTTTGAAAAAAATTAGGGGTAAGACAAATGTAGGGTTGCGGATGAGCAAGGAGGTTTTAGAGTGGGGGGGGATGTTAATCAGGTGTTTAAAATTGAACAATATGTGAACATATTTAGATAAAATAGGGAAGTTTTTATTGCATTTATGGATTTAAAAAGGCATATGATGAGTGGGTAGAGGAGCAATGGGCAGAGTGCAAAATGGAATAGGTGTAATTATTAAATGCGTAAAGATTTTTTATGGGATAGGAGGGGTCAGTTAGGGGTTAAAAAGAAGGAGACTACCCCGTAAAAGTAGGCTAGCAGGGATGTTTAAGTCACCCGGTTTTTTAAAAATTAAAGATGGGGTTGAAAAGGGAAAATAAAGCAGGGTGTTTGGGAAGGGGTGGATAATTTTGGGAACAAATTAAAAAAGGGGAAATTGACACATACTTTTTTGCTGATAACTGTGCTTTTGGGGGAAATTTTAAAAAGAAAATTTCAAAGGTTAGTGGGGTGGTTTGGGGAAATTTTTGAAAGGTAAAAGTTTAAAGGAACATAGAAAAAGTAAGGGGGAGGGTGCAAAGTTTTAAAAAAGAAAAATTTGGGTACAAATTGGGAGGGGGAGTAAGGGGAAAAGAATGTTTTTTAATACTGGGGGTTCTGTCGGGGGATGGATTTATGAAGGATGGGGTTAATCAAGAATTTATGAGGGGAAAAAAAGGGGAGTGGTGCGTTGAGGGATAGTGGATCAAAAAAAGTAACTATGGAGGGAAAGGGAAGTATAAAGTTAAAATAGTACCAAAACTCTTTTATGGGGTGAAAGCTTGGGTGGGAAAAAAGCAGCAGCAGGGAAAATTGGAGGCACGGGGATGTCCGTTTAAGGGCAATGTGTGGTGTAAATATTAAGCAGAAAATTCGGAGTGGGAAATTAGGAGAAGGGTTGGGGTTTTAAAAAAAGTATTTGTCAGAGGGGAAAAGGGGTTTTTGAGGTGGTTTGGTCATTTAGAAGAAAAGGATCACAGAGAAACATGGAAAGCATATAAAAACAAGGGGAAAGGGGGCGGGGGAGGGGGCTCCGAAAGGGGGGGGAGGGGGTAAAAGGGGGTTTTTTGGGTAAGGGGGTTGGACTTCCAGCAAGCTCTACGTGTTAGATAGGGGTGAAGGGACGAATGGTAATTGGACCAAAAATTTAGTGTGAGCAGGGGAAAAATTTTTAAGGGGGCAGAAACCGTTATTTTCATATATCGGACTTAGTCCGGGAAATGGGAAGTACAATGCCTGCACTTTAAAGGAGGGGGTTTGGGGTATTGGCAGTTTGGAGGGGTATTTTTTTATCTTTATAGTTTTTTGCTTCAGACTTTTTTTCTGAGCACCTCTGCAAAAACAGTGATAAAGTGCGGGGGGGAAAGTGTTAATGATGATGAAAGTATTTTTTTTTGGGGGTTTTTTTCTTTTTTGGTCACCGCCCCGGTGGGAGACGGCCGACTTGTTTTAAAAAAAAAAAAAATATAATATATAATTTTCAACAAGTCGGGTTTTCTCCCACCGAGGGAGGGGGGACCCAAAAAAAGAAAAAAATCCCCAAAAAAAAATACTTTTTACATCATTAACCTTTTACCACACCACAATCACTGCTTTTGCAGAGGGGCCAAACAACATTTAGAAGCATAAAACGTATAAGATACACAACAAACCCTCCAAACGCCAAAACCCAAAACCCCCCTTTAAAGGGAGCATTGTACTTCCCATTTCCCCGGACCAAGTCCGACTATATGAAAATAACCGTTTCCCTAATCCCCACCCAAAATATTACCCTGCTCACCTCCAACAATCGTCAGGTCCCAAGTATCTTTTATCTCCATTCACTCCTATCTAACACCTCATGCACGCTTGCTGAATTCCAAGCCCCTCGCCCACAAAAACCCCCTTTACCCCCTTTCCAACCCTTTCGAGGACGACCCCTACCCCCTTTCCTTTCCCCATAATTTAAGCTTTCCAGCATTCTACTTGACCATTCTCTCTAAATGACCAAACCACCCAACAACCCCTCTTCTGCCCTCGACTAATGCTTTTATTAACTCCACACCTTCTCCTAATTTCCACACTCCCGAATTTTCTGCATAATATTTACACCACACATTGCCCTTAGACAGGACTCTCCACTGCCTCCAACCACTCCTCGCTGCTGCATTTACCACCCAAGCTTCACATCCATATAAGAGTGTGGTACTACTATACTTTCATACATTCCCTTCTTTGTCTCCATAGATAACGTTTTTTGACTCCACATATACCTCAACGCACCACTCACCTTTTTTCCCTCATCAATTCTATGATTAACCTCATCCTTCATAAATCCATCCGCTGACACTTCAACTCCCAAGTATCTGAAAACATTCACTTCTTCCATACTCCTCCCCAATTTGATATCCAATTTTCTTTATCTAAATCATTGATACCCTCATCACCTTACCTTTTCTATGTTCACTTTCTACTTTCTACCATTACACACTTTCTCAAACTCATCCACTAACCTTTGCAATTTTTCTTTAGAATCTCCCAAAAGCACAGTATCTTCAGCAAAAGTAACTGTGTCAATTCCCATTTTGAATTTGATTCCCCATAATTTAATCCCACCCCTCTCCCGAAACACCTTGCATTTACTTCTTTTAAAACCCATCATAAATATATTTAAACAACCATGGTGACATTACACATCCTGTCTAAGACCCACTTTTACTGGGAAGTATTCTCCCCCTCTTCTACATACCCTAACCTGAGCCTCACTATCCTCATAAAAGCTCTTTACAGCATTTAGTAACTTACCACCTATTCCATGTACTTGCAACATCTGCCACATTGCTCCTCTATCATATGCCTTTTCTAAATCCATAAATGCAATAAAAACTTCCCTACCTTTATCTAAATACTGTTCGCATATATGCTTCAATGTAAACACTTGATCTACACATTCCCTACCCACTCTGAAGCCTCCCTGCTCATCCGCAATCCTACATTCTGTCTTGCCTCTAATTCTTTCAATTTTGACCCTACCGTATACTTTTCCTGGTATACTCAGTAAACTTATTCCTCTATAATTTTTACAATCTCTTTTGTCCCCTTTCCCTTTATATAAAGGGATTATACATGCTCTCTGCCAATCCCTAGGTACCTTCCCCTCTTTCATACATTTATTAAACAAAAGTACCAACCACTCCAACACTATATCCCCCCTGCTTTTTAAAATTCTGTCATGATCCCATCAGTTTTCCCGCTGCTTTTACCCCTTTCATTCTACATAATGCCTCACGTACCTCCCCCACACTTACATTCTGCTCTTCTTCACTCCTAAAAGATGGTATACCTCCCTGGCCAGTGCATGAAATTACCGCCTCCCTTTCTTCCTCAACATTTAAAAGTTCCTAAAAATATTCTCGCTCTTCCTATACCTCCCTCTCCCCATCTCTAACTCCCCTACTCTGTTTTTAACTGACAAATCCATACTTTCCCTAGGCTTTCTTAACTTGTTTAACTCACTCCAAAATTTTTTCTTATTTTCATTAAAATTTCTTGACAGTGCCTCTCCCACTCTATCATCTATGTACTCTCCTTTTGCACTCTCTCACCACTCTCTTCACCTTTCTTTTACTCTCATATACTCTGCTCTTCTTAGAACATTTTGCTTTGTAAATACCTCTTATAAGCCCACCTTTTTCTCTTTTATCACACCCTTTACTTTATCATTCCACCAATCACCCTCTTTCCTCCTGCCCCACCCTCCTATAACCACAAGCTTCTGCCCCACATTCTAATACTGCATTTTTAAAACTATTCCAACCCTCTTCAACCCCCCACTACTCATCTTTGCACTAGCCCACCTTTCTGCCAATAGTCGCTTTATCTCCACCCGAACTTCCTCCTCCCTTAGTTTATACACTTTCACCTCCCTCTTACTTGTTGTTGCCCCTTCCTCTTTTCCCATCTACCTCTTACTCTTTAATAGCTACAACTAAATAATGACCGATATATCAGTTGCCCCTCTATAAAATGTAATCCTGGAGTCTACCCCTCAACCTTTTATCCACCAGTACTAATCTAACAAACTACTTTCATTACGTGCTACATCTTTCCTTGTATATTTTATCCTCTTTTCATAAAATATGTATTACTTATTATTGTGTGTGTGTTGTGTGTGTGTGTGTGTGTGTGTGTGTGTGTGTGTGTTGTGTGTGTGTGTGTGTGTGTGTGTGTTTTGTGTGTGTGTGTGTGTGTGTGTGTGTGTGTGTGTGTGTGTGTGTGTGGGGTGTGTGTGTGTATATATATATATATATATATTATATTTATTTATTTTAATTTATTATCACACTGGCCGATTCCCACCAAGGCAGGGGGGCCCGAAAAAGAAAAACTTCACCATCATTCACTCCATCACTGTCTTGCCAGAAGGGTGCTTTACACTACAGTTTTTTAAACTGCAACATTAACACCCCTCCTTCAGAGTGCAGGCACTGTACTTCCCATCTCCAGGACTCAAGTCCGGCCTGCCGGTTTCCCTGAATCCCTTCATAAATGTTACTTTGCTCACACTCCAACAGCACGTCAAGTATTAAAAACCATTTGTCTCCATTCACTCCTATTAAACACGCTCACGCATGCCTGCTGGAAGTCCAAGCCCCTCGCACACAAAACCTCCTTTACCCCCCTCCCTCCAACCCTTCCTAGGCCGACCCCTACCCCGCCTTCCTTCCACTACAGACTGATACACTCTTGAAGTTATTCTGTTTCGCTCCATTCTCTCTACATGTCCGAACCACCTCAACAACCCTTCCTCAGCCCTCTGGACAACAGTTTTGGTAATCCCGCACCTCCTCCTAACTTCCAAACTACGAATTCTCTGCATTATATTCACACCACACATTGCCCTCAGACATGACATCTCCACTGCCTCCAGCCTTCTCCTCGCTGCAACATTCATCACCCATGCTTCACACCCATATAGAGCGTTGGTAAAACTATACTCTCATACATTCCCCTCTTTGCCTCCAAGGACAAAGTTCTCTGTCTCCACAGACTCCTAAGTGCAACCACTCACCTCTTTTTCCTCATTCAATTCTATGATTCACCTCATCTTTCATAGACCCACCGCTGACACGTCCACTCCCAAATATCTGAATACGTTCACCTCCTCCATACTCTCTCCCTCCAATCTGATATTCAATCTTTCATCACCTAATCTTTTTGTTATCCTCATAACCTACTCCTTTCCTGTATTCACCTTTAATTTTCTTCTTTTGCACACCCTACTACAAATTCATCCACCAATCTCTGCAGCTTCTCTTCAGAATCTCCCAAGAGCACAGTGTCATCAGCAAAGAGCAGCTGTGACAACTCCCACCCTGTGTGTTGATTCTTTATCTTTTAACTCCACGCCTCTTGCCAAGACCCTCGCATTTACTTCTCTTACAACCCCATCTATAAATATATTAAACAACCACGGTGACATCACACATCCTTGTCTAAGGCCTACTTTTACTGGGAAAAAATTTCCCTCTTTTCTACATACTCTAACTTGAGCCTCACTATCCTCGTAAAAACTCTTCACTGCTTTCAGTAACCTACCTCCTACACCATACACTTGCAACATCTGCCACATTGCCCCCCTATCCACCCTGTCATACGCCTTTTCCAAATCCATAAATGCCACAAAGACCTCTTTAGCCTATATATTATATATAATATATTATATAATAAATATATATATATATATATATATATATATATATATATATATATATTATATATATATAAAGAAATTTGATGCCTAGGTAGAATTTTCCATATTTGGTTATTCATTGACTTGCATTGAATCAATAATGATTAATATTTAAAAGGATTTTAAGAAATTTCTTAGTTATAATTAAAATTTTTAATTCCAGCTAAAGCCATATATGACAACAAGTTATTAGAGTGTTACTTCACGAGATCATTCTACAAACACATTCTTGGCAAAATGGTGCGTGTGGTTGATATGGAGAAGTGAGGATTATTTCATTTTATCAGGGCTCATATTTCTTGCTAGAGCACAATGTTGCAGACCTAGGGTATGAACTCACCTTTAGCACAGAGGTAAGTAATGTTTATGCCATTTTGGTTACTAATGATATTCGAGTTTTCAGTGAATTCAAACTAATAATAATTATAAAAAACTTGCAATAAAATAATTTTATACGAAGGTTACTTAAATGGAAAAGCCCATATTTATGCAAGGCTTTTTGGGTAGACTTAAGCTAAGAGTAAATACTTACAGAACGTAGCAGTATACAGTAGTAGACATGCATACCCATCAGACAGAATATATACATAGTTTCAAATACTTTACATAATACTAAAACTAATGAACAAGTTAATCACTTACAGTATAAAATACTGGATAAATATATACAAACCTATGGATGAATAGGTACAGGTCCTCCATCACAAATCCGTGTGTCATTGGGACCTGTAGTGTGCCGGATTACTGATTTTGCCGAATTAGAGTGGTTAGGTTAGAATACACTTAATAAAATTAACCAACTTGACTTACACAGTTCATTGAACATCGGCAAAAATCGAACATTTCCGCTACTTTGAACTCAATTTCAAGGTACTTTTCATCATGAAAGCACTCAAAATCATGTCTATTTCTGTAATATATCTTCCATTCTATCAAACGAGTCCAAAAAAAAATGAGAATACAATCATAAAAACATACGAAAATATACTGCAAAGAGGCAGCTAATGGCTGAGAAGTTAACTCCCTTATTTATTGTCCATCTTTTTTATTTTTGTTGTACATTAAGAAGCATCTTTCCATCATACATTGCCCAAGTTTCAATGAGATAGCCCAACAAACAACCGAGAAAAAAAATATTTACCAAAATCATGTATGGCAAGCCCAAGCCAGGTACTGGAAATAAGTCACTTTGTCTGACTTTTCTGGGTTATCCTAGGTTCTCTATATATACACTGATATGTATGATAATCTTTGTAACTGTATTTGTGTATACCTGAATAAACTTATTTACTTCTAGTCTGTCAACTGAGTACAAGAAACCGCCCATTCACTTATTTCAACTAATAAAGTGGTCAGAAATTGGCAATTTGGCCGATTTCACACAAATTTCAACAGATACCAATTTCAAAATAGGGTCCAGAATAAACAATGTAGACATTCCTGGCACTAAAATAACATTTTCTCTGTTCATTAGTCACGGCTACAAGCCCCTCTTATATTACTCTTGCTTTTCATTTGGAATTTTTATTCACAAAAAATAGAAGATTTACTGTTATGCAGACTGCTGCATTATTGTAATAATTGTATAAATAATGTCAAGCCATTCTTGACTCCGTACTGGAATTTGGACTGGCAGGCGGACAGGTATTGGACGGTGACGTCATTTGTTTACTCTTGAGATTAGCTAAAGAATAGAACATTTTCGCTACTATGAGTGCACTTTCAAGGTACTTTTTGTCATGAAAGCAATCAAATCATGTCTATTTCTGTAATATATCTTTCATTCTATCAAATGAGACCGAAAAAATGAGAATATAACCATAACAACCATACAAAAATATACCGCTAAGCGGCCGCTAATGGCTGAGAAGTGAACTTTCCCCTATTTATGGTCTGATTTCTTTCATTTTTGATGTACGTGAAGAAGTATCTTTCCATCATACATTGCCCAAGTTTGAATAAGATAACCCAACAAACAACTGAGAAAATATAATAATAATAATAATATCTTTATTTACTACATGTACATGGTATACAGGCCTAGCTGACATCATGATATGCTACTGTATAGAAAGCCTCTTGTTATGCAGAGTATTTCAAGAAATTGGTCATTGTCCCAGGATAACACCCACACTAGTCGACTAACACCCAGGTACCAATTTACTGATGGGTGTAAAGAAACCCGCCTACTGTTTCTACCCTGGCTGGGAATCGAATATTTACCAAAAATCATATATGGCTAACCCAAGCCAGGTACTAAAAATAAGCCACGTTGATTTCTTTTGGGTTATCCTAGGTTCTCTACACACATGCTGCTGTGTGTGATAATCTATAGAGAGAAAATAACTTTTTTGTTTCAGGTTTATGGTGCAGTACGAGTGTATATGACAGCCCTGTGCTACACTCCGTTTTCTCTAATATAAGCCACCAAGACAGGGATAGGAGAATGGTATTTGTGTACCATATATCCACTTCATACCTCCATCGAACTGTATCGGTTATGCCAAATATTATTCATTCTGGAGTATTTAACATGTTTTATGTTATTTATATTGTTTCTTATGTCATATTAGATCAATTGTGATAGGCAAATAAGCTGTAGTGTTGATATTAGCGTAATAATAAAGCATATTCTCCTGCCTTCATGAGACTGAGCTCATGGCAAACCGACAGTTGCTTCAAAGCCACCTTATCTTTAATGGATAATGTACTGTGTAGGTGCTTTTCATAATGAGAAGCATTTTAGAGAGGGTGTGGTAGGTAAGTTTGGGGTGCCAGGTGTAAATGATAATGGGAGCCCTTTGATTGAACTTTGTATAGAAAGGGGTTTAGTTATAGTAATACATATTTTAAGAAAAAGAGGATAAATAAGTATACACGATATGATGTAGGTCGAAATGACAGTAGTTTGTTGGATTATGTATTGGTAGATAAAAGACTGTTGAGTAGACTTCAGGATGTACATGTTTATAGAGGGGCCACAGATATATCAGATCACTTTCTAGTTGTAGCTACACTGAGAGTAAAAGGTAGATGGGATACAAGGAGAATAGAAGCATCAGGGAAGAGAGAGGTGAAGGTTTATAAACTAAAAGAGGAGGCAGTTAGGGTAAGATATAAACAGCTATTGGAGGATAGATGGGCTAATGAGAGCATAGGCAATGGGGTCGAAGAGGTATGGGGTAGGTTTAAAAAATGTATGTGTTAGAGTGTTCAGCAGAAGTTTGTGGTTACAGGAAAGTTGGGTGCAGGAGGGAAGAGGAGCGATTGGTGGAATGATGATGTAAAGAGAGTAGTAAGGGAGAAAAAGTTAGCATATGAGAAGTTTTTACAAAGTAGAAGTGATGCAAGGAGGGAAGAGTATATGGAGAAAAAGAGAGAAGTTAAGAGAGTGGTGAAGCAATGTAAAAAGAGAGCAAATGAGAGAGTGGGTGAGATGTTATCAACAAATTTTGTTGAAAATAAGAAAAAAGTTTTGGAGTGAGATTAACAAGTTAAGAAAGCCTAGAGAACAAATGGATTTGTCAGTTAAAAATAGGAGAGGAGAGTTATTAAATGGAGAGTTAGAGGTATTGGGAAGATGGAAGAATATTTTGAGGAATTGTTAAATTTGATGAAGATAGGGAAGCTGTGATTTCGTGTATAGGGCAGGAGGAATAACATCTTGTAGGAGTGAGGAAGAGCCAGTTGTGAGTGTGGGGAAGTTCGTGAGGCAGTAGGTAAAATGAAAGGGGGTAAGGCAGCCGGGATTGATGGGATAAAGATAGAAATGTTAAAAGCAGGTGGGGATATAGTTTTGGAGAGTGGTTGGTGCAATTATTTAATAAATGTATGGAAGAGGGTAAGGTACCTAGGGATTGGCAGAGAGCATGCATAGTTCCTTTGTATAAAGGCAAAGGGGATAAAAGAGAGTGCAAAAATTATAGGGGATAAGTCTGTTGAGTGTACCTGGTAAAGTGTATGGTAGAGTTATAATTGAAAGAATTAAGAGTAAGACGGAGAATAGGATAGCAGATGAACAAGGAGGCTTTAGGAAAGGTAGGGGGTGTGTGGACCAGGTGTTTACAGTGAAACATATAAAGTGAACAGTATTTAGATAAGGCTAAAGAGGTCTTTGTGGCATTTATGGATTTGGAAAAGGCGTATGACAGGGTGGATAGGGGGCAATGTGGCAGATGTTGCAAGTGTATGGTGTAGGAGGTAGGTTACTGAAAGCAGTGAAGAGTTTTTACGAGGATAGTGAGGCTCAAGTTAGAGTATGTAGGAAAGAGGGAAATTTTTTCCCAGTAAAAGTAGGCCTTAGACAAGGATGTGTGATGTCACCGTGGTTGTTTAATATATTTTATAGATGGGGTTGTAAGAGAAGTAAATGCGAGGGTCCTTGGCAAGAGGCGTGGAGTTAAAAGATAAAGAATCACACACAAAGTGGGAGTTGTCACAGCTGCTCTTTGCTGATGACACTGTGCTCTTGGGAGATTCTGAAGAGAATTGCAGAGATTGGTGGATGAATTTGGTAGGGTGTGCAAAAGAAGAAAATTAAAGGTGAATACAGGAAAGAGTAAGGTTATGAGGATAACAAAAAGATTAGGTGATGAAAGATTGAATATCAGATTGGAGGAGAGAGTATGGAGGAGGTGAACGTAATTCAGATATTTGGGAGTGGACGTGTCAGCAGATGGGTCTATGAAAGATGAGGTGAATCATAGAATTGATGAGGGAAAAAGAGTGAGTGGTGCACTTAGGAGTCTGTGGAGACAAAGAACTTTGTCCTTGGAGGCAAAGAGGGGAATGTATGAGAGTATAGTTTTACAACGCTCTTATATGGGTGTGAAGCGTGGGTGATGAATGTTGCAGCGAGGAGAAGGCTGGAGGCAGTGGAGATGTCATGTCTGAGGGCAATGTTGTTGTGTGAATATAATGCAGGGGAATTCGTAGTTTTGGAAGTTAGGAGGAGGTGCGGGATTACCAAAACTGTTGTCCAGAGGGCTGAGGAAGGGTTGTTGAGGTGGTTCGGACATGTAGAGAGAATGGAGCGAAACAGAATGACTTCAAGAGTGTATCAGTCTGTAGTGGAAGGAAGGCGGGTAGGGGTCGGCCTAGGAAGGGTTGGAGGAGGGGGTAAAGGAGGTTTTGTGTGCGAGGGGCTTGGACTTCCAGCAGGCATGCGTGAGCGTGTTTGATAGGAGTGAATGGAGACAAATGGTTTTTAATACTTGACGTGCTGTTGGAGTGTGAGCAAAGTAACATTTATGAAGGGATTCAGGGAAACCGGCAGGCCGGACTTGAGTCCTGGAGATGGGAAGTACAGTGCCTGCACTCTGAAGGAGGGGTGTTAATGTTGCAGTTTAAAAACTGTAGTGTAAAGCACCCTTCTGGCAAGACAGTGATGGAGTGAATGATGGTGAAAGTTTTTCTTTTTTCGGGCCACCCTGCCTTGGTGGGAATCGGCCGGTGTGATAATAAAATAAAATAAAATAAGAGTAAGACGGAGAATAGGATAGCAGATGAACAAGGAGGCTTTAGGAAAGGTAGGGGGTGTGTGGACCAGGTGTTTACAGTGAAACATATAAGTGAACAGTATTTAGATAAGGCTAAAGAGGTCTTTTGTGGCATTTATGGATTTGGAAAAGGCGTATGACAGGGTGGATGGAGGGGGGCAATGTGGCAGATGTTGCAAGTGTATGGTGTAGGAGGTAGGTTACTGAAAGCAGTGAAGAGTTTTTTACGAGGATAGTGAGGCTCAAGTTAGAGTATGTAGGAAAGAGGGAAATTTTTTTCCCAGTAAAAGTAGGCCTTAGACAAGGATGTGTGATGTCACCGTGGTTTGTTTAATATATTTATAGATGGGGTTGTAAGAGAAGTAAATGCGAGGGTCTTGGCAAGAGGCGTGGAGTTAAAAGATAAAGAATCACACACAAAGTGGGAGTTGTCAAGCTGCTCTTTGCTGATGACACTGTGCTCTTGGGAGATTCTGAAGAGAAGTTGCAGAGATTGGTGGATGAATTTGGTAGGGTGTGCAAAAGAAGAAAATTAAAGGTGAATACAGGAAAGAGTAAGGTTATGAGGATAACAAAAAGATTAGGTGATGAAAGATTGAATATCAGATTGGAGGGAAGAGTACGGAGTAGGTTGAACGTATTCAGATATTTGGGAGTGGACGTGTCAGCGGATGGGTCTATGAAAGATGAGGTGAATCATAGAATTGATGAGGGAAAAAGATAGAGTGGTGCACTTAGGAGTCTGTGGAGACAAAGAACTTTGTCCTTGGAGGCAAAGAGGGGAATGTATGAGAGTATAGTTTTACCAACGCTCTTATATGGGTGTGAAGCGTGGGTGATGAATGTTGCAGCGAGGAGAAGGCTGGAGGCAGTGGAGATGTCATGTCTGAGGGCAATGTGTGGTGTGAATATAATGCAGAGAATTCGTAGTTTGGAAGTTAGGAGGAGGTGCGGGATTACCAAAACTGTTGTCCAGAGGGCTGAGGAAGGGTTGTTGAGGTGGTTCGGACATGTAGAGAGAATGGAGCGAAACAGAATGACTTCAAGAGTGTATCAGTCTGTAGTGGAAGGAAGCGGGGTAGGGGTCGGCCTAGGAAGGGTTGGAGGGAGGGGGTAAAGGAGGTTTTGTGTGCGAGGGGCTTGGACTTCCAGCAGGCATGCGTGAGCGTGTTTGATAGGAGTGAATGGAGACAAATGGTTTTTAATACTTGACGTGCTGTTGGAGTGTGAGCAAAGTAACATTTATGAAGGGATTCAGGGAAACCGGCAGGCCGGACTTGAGTCCTGGAGATGGGAAGTACAGTGCCTGCACTCTGAAGGAGGGGTGTTAATGTTGCAGTTTAAAAACTGTAGTGTAAAGCACCCTTCTGGCAAGACAGTGATGGAGTGAATGATGGTGAAAGTTTTTCTTTTTCGGGCCACCCTGCCTTGGTGGGAATCGGCCGGTGTGATAATAATAATAAAAATTCTTTTATTCATTGGAACCATGGCTAGGGCTAAAAGTAAGCAGGTTAAAACAATAAATGGAGAAAAAGAAACTGGAATGACTTATACAGCAAGTAGCACCACCAAACAGTACCAGCAGGTTGGTGTGGCGACCCTGGAAATTTGAAATTATGCTAGCCAAAATTAGTGCCGAATAACTGAAGGAACCAAATAACTGATTGCCGGACTTGTGATGGTGGACCTGTATGTTGGTAGACAGCAGCCACCCAGAGAGGTTAATGAATTAAATAGAAACCTGTAATTTTTACACTGGTAAGATTGCTGTGGCTTTTCTTGTATAATTGCACAAGATAACAGGTACATCTTGCTACTGCTACTGACACTTAGGTCACATTATACTTGCAGGTAAACACATGTATACACACCCATCTGCATTTTCCATGGGAAAAGTGAAAAAGAATACTTCTTCCATAAGCCATGCATGTCATAAAGGAGAGCTAAAATGTCAGGAGCAAAGGGCTAGTAAGCTCCCTCCTGTATAAATTATGGTGGACAATCAGTTAATGATGTCATCGGATAGCGAAAAAAATTGGATACCTACAAATTTTTGCATCAAGATATTGGCTCGGCCAACGAAAAAAAACTTGGTTAAAGACATTCATCCCGAACGTGTCCACGCGGCCTGAGCTGCTCGGACACTCCATGTATAGCCAGTGTGCCATTGTTTACAAGCCAGTGAGGACGATTCCCTGCATACATGCGATACATATTGTATTCCATTGTTTTTAGTGCTTGTAACTGCTAAATAAGTCACCAAGGGCCCAAAGAAAGCTTCTAGTGCCAGCCCTGTGGTAAAGAAGGAAAGAAACACAATAGAATTCAAGAAAAAAACTCGTAGCAAAGTACCAAAGTGGAGGAGGAAAAGAGAGGGGAGAATGTGCCTTTTGCAGTGATTCAGTGATTCTGCTATATGTATGATACTTAAGAAGCATGTATCGATGAAGGCTATAGTGCCAGCCAGCGATGAAGTGTAGAATTAACAGTGTAGCAAGTAAATTAAGCGAGTAAACGATAGAAAAACAACACGAAAGTAACTCTCCAATGTTGTTGGACGTGTATAGGGCCAATGAACATATGCCACCCTGCTGTCTTCCACCACCCTAAACCTCTGCCAGCATCTCTCCATCAAACTAACTAATTAAACTAACATCTCCTCCAAGGTAAATGTAAATATAAGAGTGTAAGTATAAAAGTAAATACAAGTGTAAATATAAAAGGACCCCAATGGAAATAAGCCTGACTTTTTTGGGTTATCCTTGGTACTTTACACATATGCTGCTATGCATGATAATTATGTACATAACTGTATTTGTGTATACCTGAATAAACTTTCTTATTTATAAATTAAAAAGTAAATCTTTTTTATTTATAAATTACATACATTGTTTGTGTGAATAGTGGTGGCGGCTTCTGCTGCTGCCTCCACCACCACTAATATGTATGGCTTCTCTGTGGCCCTTACAAACCCAACAACAACACCACCACTTATTCCTCGCATACATTATGATATATTTTATTAATTCTAGAGTATATATATCATGTTTCTATGTTGTTAATATTGTTTATTATGTCATATTAGATGAATTTTGATAGATAAATAAGCTGTAGAGATATTAACGTCATATTGAAGCATAATAAACTCTCCTTCCTCTCGTCTCCTACCTGTCTTCCATACACCAACAAGAGTAGATAAGTGTGATGTTAAATGTTCATTTATCCATTTTATTAGTGCTTTATATTTATTTGTCATTGTTTTCTGCATGTATATCTGTATTTTAATCTTTAAAAATATTTTTGCTAATACTTTTGGGTGTCTGAAATGGATTAATTGGATTTCCATTATTTCTTAGGGGAAAATTAATTCGGATAACAACAGAATCGGTTAAAGACAAGCTCTCGGAACGGATTAATATCGTTAACTGAGGGTCCACTGTACTAAAAATAAGAAGAAGAACTTTATGAAGTTGGGATGTCTTGGATGTAGTGCAAATAAGAAAGAGGAGTCTTTATGAAAAGATTAAAGTAAGGGTCATATGGCAAAAAGTGGGTTATACTTGGATTTTATGCACCAAGAAGATTGAGATTGAAAGAGAGATCGAGTCTGGAACACATTCATACAGTATTATGATGTCAAAGAGATAGTGGATCAAATGAAAATGCTGGCCCACAGATGGCTCCAACTTCATCCTGTTCCCTACTTGTATGTTTCCTAACAATAAAAATGCATTCAAATGAGCTGATGTAGGTAACAGCTCTTAGCTTGTCAATAAGTTTAGGAATCCTGAACCTAACCTTGTCAAACCCTTTTTAAAAAAAAAGATTGGATTGAGTGTGAGATTAAGAGACCAGTGAGATTTGAGAGTGAGAACAGATTGAGAGTGATACAGATCTGAGAGAATTGAGATGTTAAATGATGTGTAGGGATCCTTTGAACCAAATGAAGGTATTGTGGGAGGAGAAAATTAAATGCTGAAGTAGCAGCATTGTTAAGCTGGCATAGTAGTAAGTTCGTGGTGCCAGGGAAAATGGTAATTAGGTCCCTATGTTTTAACTTTACAGCAGCCATCTTAAACTGAGTGGGGTGACGCCAAAAAAGAATCACTGCTGTCCTTGCCAGAATGTGCAGATCTGCAGTTAGATGCCCCTCTAGACTGCAAAATATCCCCACCATCCCCATTTTCAAAGTGCAGACCTCACTTTCTACCTCCAGGACTCAAGACTGTATAACTGGTGTTCCTTGAATAAATCCTTTCACAAAATATTACCTTGCATACACTTCAGTTGTTCATAAAGTCGATCTCTAAAAACATTAATCTCCACTCACTTCCTATTTAACATTCTCACAAACAGCGCTTTCAGGATGTGAAGCTCACATACTGGTATTTTTTTTTTTTGGGGGGGGGGTGTGCTTTAAAAGCCTATCTTAAAGATGCAGACCCAACATTAATCCTTAAAGTGTCCCAAGACCTCCATCCGAAAAGTGTCCAGTGTCCAAGAATTTAAAAAAAAAAAAATGAAATGGTAGAGAATCTATTTCTGAGGGTAATAAAACAAAAATAAAAAAATTGATGAGGAACAACATATGAAAATAAGCTTTTGCAAAGTATTGTTGAGTGTTAGCAGTATTTAACACATATGTGATTTTTGCAGCACTTTGAAATCCTATATTAGCCAATTACGTTGTGTCAGTTGACCAAATTCTGGATATTTTGCTAGTATGACTTCCATGTTATTGAGCACATGAAAACTGCCCAATTTACAATTTCAGCTACCAAGAGAGTGATCAGAAAATTGGTAATATGCCAGTTTCATCACACATTCAAAATAAGTACAGAATAAACAATGCAGGTATCCGCACAAAAATAAACACTTCCTCTGTTCCTTAGTTTACATTCCGCAGGCTTTAAACATGTAATTCCATTTTGAAAAATTTATGTGCACAATTTTCATTCAACAGAAAAAAAAAGGAAGATTTACTGTTTACGAATTAATTGTAATTGTATCAATTTCATAGCAATTGGATGTATGTTAGACCAACCATTTTGGATGCATATTGGACAGGTGACATGATTTGGTTTACTTCTGGGAATATTTGGCAAAATTCAATAATACAGCTACATTGACCTTTATTTCATCAAAGCTAATCGCTTCTCCTTCTGTAACATATATCTTCCAATCTACCAGACGATACCCAAGAAACTGAGAATACATCCATAAAAACCGTCTGAAAAACACGCCGCAAAGTCGCTATTTTAAACCAAAAAAAAGTTGCAGGATTCTTCCTCCCTCCCACTCCATTATGCACATTGTGTAGTATGATTTGTTTAAAATATGTGTGCAAACGTACTTATCGACCCATTCTCTCGTATCTAGGCACAAATTTACTACCGCTCACATTGCCCCTTTTTTATCTGAGTGAGCTGAGCTCATCAAGGAGTTCGTTCGGCATGGAAGAGACTTCAAACCCATAGTAACCACAATAATGGACACTTATAGGGGATTAAGAAATGAATTCATTCACTAATCCAAATTTTTTGCTGTGGTAGTGCTTAACCCTCTTTGTTCCATGCAGTGCCTCATGTCAGAAAGTTTTAGTAAGGATGAATATAGCTTCAACAATAGTTTAAGGCTATTTTTTTTTTTTTCCGTTTTAAACCCTTCTGGATTTTAGTCCCCTTTTGCTTGCTAGCATTTTTTACAAATTCAGACACTCTTGGAATACCAAAGTTTTTTTTCCCTTGTTTGCACTGGGCCTTGGTGCACTTTCTAGGAGAAAGTCCTTAATTCTGATTGTATTATTTGTTCTTAAGATTAGGTAAACAACAGACTTATGAATGGCCTGTTATATTTAAGAAAGTGTAACAATTTTGATTAGAAGCAGTGTATGTTGTCTGAAGGCAACATTTTATTAGAACTCTGGTGGTTTCCATTTATTGCATGATTGTTTTAACAGATGGTTTGCATTTTTTGAACCTCCTTTAATCCCTCCTAACACATCCCATAAAATGAGATTATGGAAAGATAATATAGAAGTAAGCAAAGTAGGGGTAGATACATATATTGCACTTTTGGAGAGCATGCCCACAGTTTGATACTTTTGCTACAAGTGTGGTTGGTCTGAAAGTTGCACCAAATTCAGTTTAAAAAATTTCTCCAAAGATCTTTTTCACCTTGCCAGAGATTGCTAATCTCCTAATAAGCACTTTTAGTTGAAACTGAATTGCAGTACACAAGTGTAAAGCATTAGTTGTATGTTCCCGTCATTATACTTTTACATCAGGTTCAAGAATTTGGTAGTTACTGAGGTAAGGGATCTCAAACAAAATGGCCGAAGACATAGCTGTTACAGAGAATCCAAGATGGAGTACATACGTCTTTGTATGCCAAATGAAAATGACAGGAGCCTTAGCAACAGTAAGTAATTATTATAATTCATAACTCTTAGTGACTGTAGACCTCTTTGCTCCACCTCCTAGAGTGCAGACACTATTTCCTACCACCAAGACTTCAGTCTAGTTTATATCATTACTCTGCATCCTTTCTAATCAAATTTTACAGAATCGGTTTTAATAATTACATTCTCACTAAAATAAAATAAAGTGCTTTAGAAGAAAAACTCTTGACCTCAGGAAAGAAATTCATAATCTGAATTTTGTGGTTCTTTTGTCTTCTTATCAAGCCAGTGCAGCATTGTTTTTCATCTATTTTGTGTAACTTATAGTATTCTGAGAGAATTTTTAATATTTATCACTCGTTGCTTTCTCATTATTGTTACATGGCACTTGCCTAGGTAAAATTCCATATCCATAAGTCTAGGATTTTTACATGCATTTGCATCCTAATTGTGTAAGATTTTTATTCCAATATCTATTATATAAATTTAAAGTGCATTGACATTTATTTAAGATTCTGTGGAATTTGCCATTAAGCACAGTATCAAAAGCAATAAACATTGCTTACATGCCATAAATATATATAATAGTCGCCCTTCAGTCTTATTTGTCGATAGATTACAATTTTAATATTAATTTCAAGATAAAACTTACCATTGTTGCCGCTGAGAATTTACAAGCAACGATGTGGAATCAACACACTTAAGTAAGACATTAGAGAGGATTGTGTAATGTTGGTATTGTATCTATTTAATTAATATTTCCATAAGTAGATAATTTTCATTAATTATACAAAAAAATTATTATACATTCTCGGATTGAATGCTTTTTGAGGGTTTCTATGACAACATTGCTAAGCGTCATATATCCTATTTTTTATGTACAAAGTTTGTAGCTACTTATATCAGGGCTTCCAAACAATAGACATAGAGATCTACGAACTAATACTGAATATCTCAAATACCAACCGAACTCACTTGCATGTAAGATGTGTAGACGACAGCAAATATTATTCAAAAACTTTTTTGCAAAATGTCTTAAAATTCAGGTTCATATGTAACCTTCACTTTCCTTGTATTAAGTATGAGTACATAACTTCAATATTAACGAACCGGAGACAATTCTGAGAGTAGAATTTATCAAATGCTAGCACCTGTTTAACCCTTTGAGGGCCTGGACATGCCCTCTCCTAGACTCGTGTCTCAGGGTCGGCCAAATTTAAAAAAATCATTTTCTCTTTATGAAAAGTATAGAGAATCTTTTTCCCGATCATAATGACACAAAAGTTTGAAATTTGATTGAAAACTTACGGAATTATGCTCCTTGCGAAGTTAGCGGTCTCAGGATGTTTACGCAATCGGCGATTTTCTGTGAGTCCTTCACTTTGAGCCCCATTTTCAGCCAAATTCCACTGTACTAGTCAACAAAAAACATGGATATTTCGTCTAGAACTATTTAACTTCCAATTTTTTTTCTATCGAATGAGTGCAAGAAAACCACCCATTTTATCAGTTTCAACTATCCAGTACAGTGTCATAATTTAGCAATTTATGCAATTTCATCACAAATTTCAAAAGATGCCAATTTCTGAATAGAACCAAATAAACAAGAAAGACCATTCCTTCAACTAAAATGACATTCCACTGTTCATTAGTCACGTCTCAAGGCCCCTCTTACAATCTTTGCTTTCCACTTTTGATTTTTTATTCTATAAAAAAATAGAAGAATTACTGTATGGCAGACTACTGCATTGTGTAAAAAATGGTGTAAATAATATTGACAAACTTGCTGAAAGAATATTAGACTCCCAGTTTGACGGTATTGGACCACATAGCATGATTTGTTTTTTTTGAACTTTGGTAAAAATCGAACATTTCTGCTGAACTTTGAGCTCAATTCAAGGTACTTTTCTATTGTAAAACCATCAATAATCATCTCAGGTTCTGAGTATGTCTTCCATTCTATAAAATGAGACCCATAAAAACTAGAATACAACAATAAATAACCTTGCGAAAAATACTGGCAAAAGTCCTGTTTTATTTCCAAAAAATGTCCATTTTTTTTTTTTTTCTCATTATGCAACTGTGTTCTGCAGGATGTTTTTTAATACTGCGCACACTGACCACATAGACCCATTCATTCATATATGTAGGCCTACCAGCTTTCTCCCACTAGATTTGAGGGTCGCTAGAATTTAGGCGTACTATTACGTCAAAAACCCTGGGTCGTAAGCCGTACTAGTACTTCCGAAACCCTCAAAGGGTTAATATCTGCATAGTTTTTTTTTTTTTTTTTTATTTTTTTTTTTTTTTTTTTTTTTTTTTTTTTTAATTATCACACCGGGCCGATCCCACCAAGGCCAGGTTGGCCCTAAAAAGAAAAAACTTGCCACATCAGTCACTCCAGCACTGTCTTGGCACAGGGTGCTTTACACTACAGTTTTTAAACTGCAACATTAACACCCCTCCTTCAGAGTGCCAGTCACTGTAACTTCCCATCTCCAGTACTCAAGTCGGCCTGCCGTTTTTCCCTGAACCCTTCGTTCTAATGTTACTTGCTCACCACTGACTCCAACAGCACGGCAAGTAATTAAAAACCATTTGTCTCCATTCGTCCTATCAAAACAACGCTCAAGCAGCCTGCTGGAGTCCAAGCCCCTCGCACACAAAACCTCCTTTTACACCCTCCCTCCCTAACGACTTCGTCCTAGGCTACCCTACCCCCCCCCCCCGCCTTCCTTCCACTACAGACTGATACACTCTTGAAGTCATTCAGTTTCGCTCCATTCTCTCTACATGTCCGAACCACCTCAACAAACCCTTCTCAGCCCTCTGGACAACATTTTTGGTAAACCCGCACCTCCTCCTAACATCCAAACTACGAATTCTCTGCATTATATTCACACCACACATTGGCCCTTCATACATGACATCTCACTGCCTCCAGCCTTCTCCACTCCTCTCCTCGCTGCAACATTCATCACCCACGCTTCACACCCATATAAGACTGGGGTAAAACTATACTCTCATACATTCCCCTCTTTGCCTCCAAGGACAAAAAGTATCTTTGTCTCCACAGACTCCTAATTGCACCACTCACTCTTTTTCCCTCATCAATTCTATGAATTCCCTCATCTTTCATAGACCCATCCGCTGACACTTCCACATCCCAAATATCTGAATACGTTCTACGACTCCTCCCATACTCTCTCCACTCCAATCTGATATTCAATCTTTTCATCACCTAATCTTTTTGTTATACTCATAACCTTACTCTTTCCCTGTATTCCACCTTTAATTTTCGTTCTTTTGCACACCCTAATGAAAAAAAAAAGAACACCTCCCTACCAAATTCATCCACCAATCTCTTCAACTTCTCTTCAGAATCTCCCAAGAGCACAGTGGCATCAGCAAAGAGCAGCTGTGACAACTCCCACTGTTGTGTGTGATTCTTTATCTTTTAACTCACGCCTCTTGCCAAGGACCCCGCATTTACTTCCTTACAACCCCATCTAATAAATATATTTTAAAACAACCACGGGTGACATCACACATCCATGACTAAGGCCTACTTTTACTGGGAAAAAATTCCCTCATTCTAACATACTCTAACTTGAGCCTCACAATCCTCGTAAAACTCTTCACTGCTTTCCATGTAACCTACCAGCCAACACCATACACTTTGCAACATCTGCCACATTGCCCCCCCCTATCCACCCCGTCAACGCCCTTTACTCAAATCCCTAAATGCCACCAAAAGACCTCTTTAGCCTTATCTAAATACTGTTCCTTATATGTTTCAAACTGTAAACACCTGGTCCACCCACCCCTACCTTTTCTAAACCGCCTAGGTTCATCTGCTATCCTATTCTCCTCTTACTCTTAATTCTTTTCATTATAACTCCTACCATACACTTTACAGTTACACTCAACATACTTATCCCCCTATAAATTTTGCACTCTCCTTTTATATCCCCATTGCCTTTTATACAAAGGAACTATTCATGCCTCTGCCAATCCCTAGGTACCTTACCCTCTTCCATACATTTAATTTTAAAAACAATTGCACCAACCACTCCAAAACTATATCCCCACCTGCTATAACATTTCTATCTTTATCCCATCAATCCCGCTGCCTACCCCCTCCATTTTACCTACCTGCCTCAACGAACTTCCTCCCACACACACAACTGGCTCTTCCTGTCCTGCATAGTGGTTAGGTTTAAATATGACATGTTTGAAATTTTTTTATCTGTACAATTTACTAAGTTTCCAATATTACTTATTGGTTCCCCCTACTTCTCTTACATTTTTTTATAATATTTAAAAGTTAGGCCGTCTCCCACCGAGTCAGGGTTACCCAAATAAGAAAAAGAATAGAAAATCCCCAAAAAGAAGAATACTTTCATCATCATTCAACAGCTTTCACCTCACTCACAACATAATCACGATTTGTTCAGAGGTGCTCAAATCAACAGTTTAGAAGCATATACGTATAAGATACACAAGCATATCCTTCCAAAACTGCCATATCCCCAAACCCCCCTTTAAAACCCTTTGACTGTCGCATACAACCCCAATCCTGAGGTGTCTCCTGGTTTCGCAAAATTTCAAAAAAAAAATATATATATATTTTTTCTTATGAAATGATAGAGAATCTTTTCCGATTGTAATGGACACCAAAAAAACAAATTTGATGGAAAACAGAGTACGAGAATTAAGCACTGGCGAAGTTTTTTTACGACCTCGGCGCTGTTTTACTAAATCGGCGATTTCGCCCCACTTTGAGCCCTATTGTCGGCTATTTCCAAGTTCCAGTCGCCCAAACTCATAGCTATTTCTTTAGAACTCATTTTTTTCTATCGATTGAGTACAAGAAACTGACCATTTACCGATTTCAACTACCTAATAATGGGGGGTCAGAAATTTGCAATATGGCCAAATTTCACGAAAACTAAAAATAGGACAATTTCAAAATAAGGTCCAGAATGAACAATGCAACATTCTGGCTCTAAAATAACATTTTCATTACTCATCAGTCATGTCTCCAGCCCCTCTGATATTACTCTTGCTTTTCTATTTTTGAAATTTTTATTCAAACAACAAAAAAATAGAAGACTTACAATAATGCAGACACTGCAATCTATGTAATAATTGTATAAATAACTTCAACCCATTCATGACTGCATATTAAATGGCTAGTTGGACATTTATTGAACAATGGCATCATTTGTTTACTTTTGAACATTGGCAAATACAAAATTTCCCTTACATTGAGCTCCATTTCTAGGTTCTTTTTATAGTAAAATCAATCAAAATCACCTCTATTTCTAAATATGTTTTCCATTCTATCAAATAGACCAAGAAAACGAGAATACAACCATAAATACTATACGAAAATAGACCACAAAGTCGGCATTTTAATTAAAAAAAACGGTGGGTTTTTTTTTTTCTCATTATGCACTCGTGCTCCAGGTTTTTTTTTTATATGGTGCACACTGACCACACAGACCCATTCTCTCACATGTGGGCCTACCAGTTTTCTCCCTGCTTGATTTGAAGCCGCTAGAATTTGAGTATATAACGTCAAACACGGTACCTCGTAAGACGTATATATATGGCCGCGACAGTCAAAGGGTTAAAGTGCAGGCATTGTACTTCCCATTTCCAGAACTCGAGTTCGGCTATATAAAAATAACCGTTTCCCTGAACCCCTTCACTAAAAAATTACCCTGCTCGCACTCCAACAGCTCGTCATGTCCCCAAATACCTTTTCGTCTCCATTCACTCCTATCTAACATGCTCACGAATACTTGCGGGAAGTCCAAGCCCCTCGCCCCTCCAACCCTTTTCGAGGATGACCCCTACCCCGCCTTCCTTCCCCTACAGATTTAACGCTTTCCATGTCATTCTACTTTTGATCCATTTCTCAAATGACCAACCACCTCAACAACCCCTCTTCAGCCCCTACTAATACTTTTTATTAACTTCACACCTAATTAAACCCCACTCCGAATTTTCTGCATAATATTCACACCACAATTGCCCTTTGACAGGACATCTCCACTGCCTCCAACCGCCTCCTCGCTGCAGCATTTACAACCCAAGCTTCACACCCATATAAGATGTTGGTACAAATGCTATACTTTCATACATTCCCTTCTTTTTTCCCCCATAAAATAAAATTTTTGTCTTTACATATACCTCAATGCACCACTCGCCTTTTTTCCTTCACAAGTTCTATGATTAACCTCATCCTTCATAAATCCATCCGCTGATATGTCGACTCCCAAATATTTGAAAAAAATTCACTTCTTCCCTACTCTCTTCCCCAATTTTTATATCCAATTTTTCTTTATCTAAATCATTGATACCCTCATCACATCATTATTGCTCTTCCTATAATTTTGAGTGTTTAAGAAATGTTTTGGAATAGCTGTCAGAACCATCCTGTCTGTTTACTTTCAATAATAACCATATTTTGCATTTTAACATTTGCACAAGCTTCCTTTGCAATATATTGAGAATACACTGTACAGTGGAACCTCAAAAATCGAATGCTCCCAACAAAACCCAAATTTATGTAAGTGTATTTTTGTAAGTGCTTTTAAGTGTATTTTGAGGGTCTGAAATGGACTAATCTAATATCATTATCCTGAGGGGAATAAATTCATTCGGTAAAGGCACTCGAACAGCTTTCTGGACTGAAGAAAGTTCGATATTTGAGGTTCCACTGTATTTATATATATATAGTGTACGATCTCATAATCAAGGAACTCCATTTATCTTAAAAAAATTCCCTTCCCTTTTCTTTCATATTTCCTTATCTTTCAAGTATGTTAAAAATCTTCTTACAGCTGCTTTTATACTTTCATATCACCTTCTCGGTTGCAAGGCCTTGTTTCTATCTTTCACATTTTTTTCCTCTCCTCCACCCTCAGAAATTGGATCCAGATTATTGTGGATTTACTCATAGCAATCTAATGTATTCAAGAACAGTATTTGCATAATTCTAAGGCTTTGTTTACATTTGCATCTCCTAATTTATTACCCACTTTCCCTTACGTCTTGAGTTGATTGTTGTTACCTAGGGTACTGTAGTAAATCTTTTGCACCTTTGAGGCTCATATGTTAACTTTGAAGGGAATGCCTGGATTTTCCCCATTGTTGGTCCAACAGTTAATGGCCCCAGTGTTGTCACCCATGATCTTTTTAATCTTATTTTTTTATAGTGAATATCTAATAAAATTGTTTTGCTCTAGAGGGGAAGGAGTGTCCAATTTAGAGAACATCTGAAATTTTTAAAGTAGTGAATGAAAGTCCGTTTAATTGATTGCCTACCAGACATAGAATAAACTTCCAAAAAACAGACTTAGTCCACTGTTTGGATGGATTACTGGATGTGCTAAGAATAAACTAGAGTAAAATACAGTATTCCCTGATATGTACATGAAAAAGAGAGTTAAAACTACAATACAGGTCAGTAATGTCTTATCTTTTCTGGTGGATAGATGATTTTAAAAAAATCCAACATCTCCAAGACAACACTGTATCGTACCAAAGCAAAGAAGACCATTCCCAAACCTACAAACAGATACCACCCAACCCCAAAACCCAACGAATACTACTACAGCTCTCCCATAAGTGTTATACAACTCTCTTGAAAACAATTTACCGCACTGATAAACAGTTTAAGACCATAACCAACTCATCCTGCTTGCTGCCTTCTGGGCACTCCCAGCTCCTACCGCTGCCTTCGCCATCCTCTCCCAGTTAGCCAAGCAATGACATCAGTCAAGCCTCTCTATCTACGTCTCCAGTTTCTTTTGTACCATATGTCCCAAAGTTTGGGTTGGGCCACTTGCCTTGATTCCTCCTCTTCCCCTCCTCCCATCCTTTTCCGTTTATTTCCATCCTTCCTTATCCTTCTTCCTTCCCTCTTACGACCCGCTCTCGTGTCCCCGATTTGATTCGATTCGTCTTCATTTCCACTTCCATCAGTGTCAGAACTATCAGATAGGAAAAGGAGAGTCCCAAATTTTTGGGGAGTGAGAGCTGACTTGCGACGAGGCATGGTGAAAAAAGGGTAACTGAACCCAGCGTTCCCACAATGCTATGCGGGCGCCTAGATTTTTTGTTTATGGCGCACACCCACCACACAGACCCCTTTTCTCACATGTAGGCCTTGAGCGTTTTCGTGCTAAATTTGACGGCGCTAGAAATTTTGGCGTAGATCTACGGTTTGGACACTCAACGTGAAGCCGTAGATCTACGGAAGGACCCTGAAAGGGTTAAATTTGGGAATTAGTGTAATTTAGAAAGTTACTTATTTTTTTTTTCTTCACCCTTTGACTGTTCCTTAAATGTTACACCTCATGGATTGTAAGTGTAGAAAAGCTGGGATTAGTTTAGAGAATTGTAAATACAGTACTGTAGGAAGATTTTTTTAATTTTAATTTTTTTTCAACTTTTAATTTGTATAGATTCCGTGGTTCTGGCGTGCCTTGAGGTCATTTGATCAAGCTGAGCGTGCCAAATTCCTGCAGTTTGTGACTGGTACAAGTTAAATTCCACTACAAGGTTTTGTAGCACTGAGGGCATGAATGGGACACAAAAGTTCCAGATTCATCGTGATGCCCGATCAACTGATAGGTTAAACCCTTTAGCTCATACCTGGTAAGTTTTGTGTGTGCGTGTTTTTGTTGTTGTTTGTTAGTTCCCACCTGTAAGGAAAACAATTTCCTAGTGAAGGTAGGACCTAGACAAGGATGTCATGTCACCATGGTTTTTTAATATATTTAAAGGGTTGTAAAAGTGACTCTAGTGTTGAGGAGAGGTGTGAGGTTAAAATATTGGAACTGATTTCAGGTTGGGGGATGTCGGTTACATTTTTGCAAGTGACGTAGTATTTTTGTGGGAGATTCTGAAGACACACTGCAAATTTTGGGGGAACCTAATTTGGGAATTTTAATATAATTTTTGGAATTAAAGGGAATACTATAAAAGATCATTGATGGGGGGGTAACAAAAATCCTAGGCAGTGATAGATTGAATATCAGTTTGGGAGGGGGGGAGAAAGGAAGAGGTAAAATTAGTTTGAATTTCAAATTGGGGAGGGGGGGAGTATGGAAGAGGTAATGTTTTTCCCCAAATTTTTGGGAAGCAGAAATTTTTAGCAACGACCCCATAAAATGGGTAAATATAGATTGGGAGGAAGGGGGTGGGGCACCCTTCAAAAAAAAAACAGTTTTCTTTTTAAATTTAATGTCCCAGGAACCCCTTTAAATTTTTAGGAGTTTGAGCATCCGCGGGGCTTGCAGGTTTGTTAGTGAATGAAGATGAGTGGAAATTTTTAAGGGACTAAAATTGGAATTTTGGGCAAGGTAACTTTTCATTGAGGAATTCGGGGGAAATTGGACTTGTCCCCGGAGATGGGAAGGCAATACCGCATTTGGAAAAGGGGGTACGGAGATATTGGGGCAGTTAATCAATTTTTGTTTTTCACACACTTATGAAGAGATGGCATCTGAATGAAGAATTTTGAATGTAAAAATTTATTGGGTTGCTCTTTCCTTTCCCTTAGATGGCTGTTTTAAATAAAAAATTAATTTTTTGGAATTTTTTTTATTTTTAAATGAACTGGTTTTATCATAATTTACAATAAAAAAAATTTTTTTTTGACCCCAAAAAACAATAAATGGGTTAAATTTTTCTGTTTTAAATGACACTTCTGCATTTTTAAATTTGCTCTTAAAAAAAATCTTCTAATGGTTACTCTTTATTGACAACTTCAACCAGTTGGGGCCTACCAGGTATGAAACCTAAAGATAACACCTCAAATATTTAAATTTAAAAACCATTCACGAGGGTTTTCCGAGGGGTTTTTTTTTGGCATAGAAATTTTTAAATTTTTTCCCCCCCGCTCCAGCTGTTACAGAAACTAAAGTAAAAAGAAAAAAGTAGGGAAAAAAAAAAAAAAAAACAAACTAAAAAAAAACTTTCTAAAAACGTGGCACAGTGGGAGCTCGGTTCAAATTTTTCAATGTGCGTAACAAACAAAAAAACACACACCACCAAAAGTGAAGGCACATGGGAATTTTGAAATTTAAACTTTCTGATGTAAGGCAAGTTTTATCTAACAGGAATACTTTCGCCTAAGGTTTGGTGGTTGTGGTTTGGGGTGAAAAATGTGGGTTTAGCATTGAATTATTTTTTTTTATTATGAAATTTTCATCACTGGGACAATTTTTAAATAACCAACCAAAAGAAGG